GTTTATGCCGCCAAAGCAAAAACAAAATACATGTAAATTTTTGTTTTTGTACTCCTGCAATCACCTTATATTGATTCGCCTTGGCACAAACAAAAGTAAAATGAGCGGAAACAAAAATATTAATGATGTACTGGAAGTGTTAGTGCTTGTGTGTAAAGCAAAGAGTTTAAAACTGATTTATAAATAGTAAAATGTTTACAGCAGATTGTCAAAGCAGTGCAACAACTGTTCACTTGCAAGTTATTGCTAGTTTTGTGTTCAATAAGTTCTTCTGCTAGTTTTCTCTTCTTCTCAATTTAACGCTCTATTTTGCTTTTACGCTCTCGCTGCAATGTTACTGTTACTATACAAACCTAATGTTACTCGTATATTTTCGAGCCTGTATGTACATTTTCGGGAAAAAGGTTAAAAAGTGTATCCATCTGCTGAAAAGATATTTTCGCAGATTCACAATTTATTTAAAATAAATCTATTAGCCCAATCTCCAATTCCATGTGAATAAATCTCCCCAGTGCTTAAATAATTTTCACCACATTAACTAGCTGCACAACATCCTAATTGCCGAAAAAGCGTTGCTTGCAACACTAGTCCTTTATGGGGACCAAACTTGGCGAAAAAAAAATAGCTAAGTTTGTTTACTGGATATACTGAGCCGAATTTTAAACAATTGATGGAAAACATTTGAAAATGAATTTTACAGCAGCTATTCGCGCNTACGTATGACGCTTACGACAATCTTTTACCCAGGCGACGATATGTAGTTATGTACATACACGCGTTCTAAACCGAATTTTAAACAATTGATGGAAAACATTTGAAAATGAATTTTACAGCAGCTATTCGCGGGAAACGGTAATTGACAGGACAGTGATGGTCAAGATGGCGACCGAAACTAGTCTAGTATAGGGTGGCACGAATGTCTAGAAAAGGAGATTAAGCAAAATGCATAAGTTTGGATATGCAGTATTTCGTTTCTACAGCTATAAATCGCAAAGTATAGGTGAAAAAGATTATACGATATTTTTTATATGAATTTTGACCATTGCATTCGAAATGTTAATACCACAGACAAAAATTAAAATACCATTGTCACCCTATGTTTAACCGGAATTTAGGCGCCAACAAACCGCTTTCTGTCAGTTCCGTTTTCACGTTCGCGAAAAATGTGCTACTTCTTTAGAGCAAAGAGAAAAAATATAATTTCTCAAGCAAACTCAAAGCAAATAAGATATTTTTGTGGAAAAATAGCACAGGGCAATGGTGCGGAAAATGTAAAAACTGGTTTTGATAAAGTGTAAAGATTGTAAGTATAAAGTTTTCGCCAGCTCCAGATGTTGAGAAAAACGAGGTAAAAATTTCAAAAAATTGCGTTTGCAATATTTGAGAAGCTGATACAATCTTCCACTTAGGTTTAAATTAAAGAAAGCACTCGCGTCTTCTATCCCTGAAAATACCATCCGGAAGCGACATAAAAATTAGGAAAAAAGATGTAAATCGATGTGTGTACGCATATTTATACGTAAATTTTTATCCACTACTTTATATGAATGAACAAAAACGAATGTGTGTTGCCCCTTATCGAGAAACTTCGGTACGGTTTAGTTATTTGTACAATGATTTTGGGTTGTTGTAGCCAAACGCATCACCCGAATCTAAAAACTTACATACACGTGTAGTCAAAGGATTAATTTAAGGCAAAATTTCCGAGCTCTAGTTTATTAATAAATTCGGTTTGAACCATGCACTTTTTTTTTTGTAAATTTCGATGTGGATGGCGTAGCCGAAGTTATGTATACGCACAAGAAACGGCAAAACAGAAAGGAGAATTCTACTTAGCAAGGGTAAGTAAGGGAAGCAAGCGCAACCTAACAAAATGCATCTTTTCAGTGGCTTGGAAGAATCTGTTTTTGCATTAACTGGATTGAGAATCAGTTCTTCAGGCATAAGAGGAGATATGGCTTGTGGTTCCACAATTTAACCAAAATCTGGCATACATAGATGCTTCCAAGGCAACTATGCCCGACAGCTTCGCACAGCTTTGGGAATTAATTTCCATAGCGCGCTCTTACTCCGCTGCAATAGAGTCCATCATTTTCTGCAAAAACAAAAAAATGTAAAGTCAAACAATTTTACTATAAATAAGCACTTGATGAGTGTTTTTTAATTCCTTTCCACTTTGTTTTCCTTCATACAGCTGACTTCGAAAAATAACTGATAGCTGCCCTGCAAGAACAGTGACTCATGATTCAATAATACAAGGTTAGATAATTATTGACAGCTGCGGTTTGACACTCCCTTACAAAAGGTTGCATTTACGAAGGACAGAGAAAGGGCAAGAATGCAATCCCTTGTTGCGAAAATGGTAGTAGAAAAGTACTCAAAGTAGGCAATTAATAGTGAAATTCCTTTCGTAAATTCTAATGTATTTGCAGGAAATCTGGCATTTTAAACGAAATGTTGAACGTAATATTGATATATCTACGTGAATTACGTAATTTATATGCTATTTAGCCGTATAAAAACTGCAAAATGACTCAAAATTAAAATAAGACTACTATGAGATTGATGTAAACATCCAATGCTTATGTTTTCATCAGTTAAATATGCTTCATATGCATATACAAATAAACATATTGCACAAAAGCTTATACTTTTATTTCACACCAAAGCTACACTGTTTCCATGTAAATTTGCAAAGAAGCAACACGGTGCCACTGCTAAGGGAGCGGTGCGAGAGAGACAACTGTCAGTTTATCGAACCTTGTATTATTGAATCATGCAGTGACTATCATTAGACAAATCATTTGAGTGGCAAGACTGATAGAGATTTCTGTCACTGGCTACCTACAAGTTTCTATAAAATTCTAAAGGGCAGTGTGAAAAATCTGATGTAAACATTTGTGTACATGTGATCTTCCGTCTTCCTCCAACTTATGGCCTTATTTAATGGTCTCTTTTTAACGAAACGAAAAATTTGCAAATGTGTTAGTAAGATAAATGAGAATGTGTTACTTTCCATCACGCAATTCTTGTAGGGTGGTAATGCTGCACATGTTTCCGCAAGGGTTGCAGCATGTCGATTTTTCGTTTTTCGTGGCGGAGCCCGTTTGTCGTTCAATAAATGACTACAAGTGACCATCAGATCATGGTGCAGCGACAGTGTTTTCATAGTAGTCGAAAGTTCTGGCTTTAATTCAAGCCCAAGTGGAAGGTTCTGTCACCTCCTGTTTCTTTGCTAGGGCTTCAAAAATATTGCAAAAACGCGGTTTTTGTTACTTTGACCTCGATTTTCTCGAAATCTGGAGCTGATGGAAACTTTATACTTGCGGATTCTTAATCAGCACAAAGCAGTTTTAACATTAGTCGCATCAAATATTTTTCCATTTTTGTTGGCCTGTGTAATAGAAATAATGATATCTTGGTGAAAGTGCATTTGAATGATGCTGTTTAGTATCGTTTATGCATCAAAGTGAAGACAGCGAGCGCGGAACTCTTGGCGTGGCTTGCGAAATTCAATAAAATACTTAATGTAAAGTGTGAAATGTGCATTTTGTGATTATAAACATTTGTTAAATAGGCTAATGATAAACATACATACATCGCCATTTTATACTGGAAAACAAAGTAACCAAATTATGCTGGCAATGAAAGTAAGCAAGTGAGTGGATTTCCCTGAAAATTTAAGTTGTTTAAATCATTTCATATATTTACTTACTGTTAAAATCTATGAAAACTTAAAACACATACATATATGTATTCAAATAAATTTCAAAGCGCTGTTATTTTACATATTTATCTAGATTCTTAAATATAATACAATTTCTTATACCAGCATACGTAAAAAAGATAAAACGCGGCTACAATTACGCAAAATATTTATTTCACTCTAGGTAATCTATTTTCCAATAACCCCACTTTTAGAAGCACTAGTAAAGGCAATTGTCTATATAATTACAAATTATGTAAGTAGCGCTTTTTTATACATTTTTCAATTAAATTAGGCATTTTTTTGTTTAAGGTTTTTTTTTTTTTAATTTTTCATGTTTATAGCACAAATACTAGCTACTTTGGTTTAGCGCTTACGATGTCTTTCTGTACTTCGTACTGTTCGAAATCAAAAAATAAACGTTCAATATTTTTCCTTTCTTGTAATTTGCCTGTGCACAGACATTCAATACATACATATGTACATACATTCAGGCATACATATATAGGCATATCTGTCTTTAGCGGAGTCCAGAACTTGGTATTCTGGAACTCCTTAAATCCTAGGATGATTTCATCAGCAATATCGGCCAATAGAGTAGCACGAAGACGAAGAACAAAATGGGGAAAACAGCCCGTGACACCTTGTCGATTTCGCGCCACATTATTTTCTCTACGCCCGTGTCGGTATCGGTCCAGGCTACCGACAATAGACTTTGGCGTCGCGCTGGCTTCGGTGGGCCACCGTTGCCTTGCAGTGATGTCTGTCAAGAATTTAAGTTAAAATTTTTTGTTAGTTGCATTTGTACATATGTATACAATATTAAAGATAAATCTTTGTGTCATTCACCTGTCCCGGCGTTGTTGGTGTTTGTGTTGATTTACGTGAACGCACTGCACCGCCCTCCCAGCTAGCCACCGTTGGACATTGCCCCTTTTCCATGTTGCTAATACGCTGAAAAGATGGAACAAACAAGTAATTTTTATGCAAAAAAAAAAACGACTGCAATTCTCATAAACAATTTTAAGATTATCGTTATTTTCTTCATGATACAATGATCGGATTTTAACCAAATTAGTATGGGACCACCTGTGAGGTAACACCTTTCATTAAAAAAAAAAAGGATTGTAGAAATCGGTTAACGTGGTCCAAAGTTATGCAGTTATGTTACAAAAAAAATATTCCGACAAATTGATAACCGTTTCCTTTTTGTGAAGTCGGTTAAAAAATAGCGTTTTACTAATATACTAGCAGACCCGGCAAACTTCGTCCCGCCCAAAATTTTTATATATTTTATTGAAACTTTTTGGTCCAACATTTTCATTAACAATTCACGTTTACGATTTTCATTGGCACATTTGTCTGCTAAGATTAAGGTTTGGTGGTCATTTGCCGCTTTAAATAACCTAAGGAAAGTGTTATATCCGTTCTTGAAATTCTCCAGTTGTGCGGCATTTCATAGCACGGTTATTCGCAAAGCGAAATAAATTTTTTCCTCTTCACTCCCTGGCGGCAACAATGACCCGGTTCTATAGTGAATGTCCTAGAAGCTTTACAGTATAGTAGGTGGCAATTTCAAAATGGGTGCGAATCATTGATCTACAGAAATGCAATATAAATATACTTATTTCAGACGAAATACCTTAAAAGTTTGAACGCATAATAATATTGGAAAATCACATCCATTGGGCCAATTGCAACGCAGGAGCGTTGTTGTTGTTGTTGTTGTTGTTGTTGCGTTCGATATACTCAATGGTGCAACAGGTCGATTTAATCTAACCTTCACGGCCCCTTTTCTCACTTGGCTATTTTTAGTAATAGCTCGACTTCAGCACCACTTGGCAGCACGTTTTTGCAATAGTATTGCATACATATTTAAAACATTAGCCAAATCGGATCATAAATAAGATTTTTAGTAATAACTCAACTACAGCGCCAACTGTCGGATTAAATTGTGAAACTAAACCATCCAGAGACCCACTCAAATACACAAAAAGTTTCGTTAAACATCTTTATCGACGTTATCGACACCTATCATATAACATGTGATTGATAAAGCAGTTGATGTGCTTAACTGAAGGATGTACCTCCAGTTAGCGTTAACTAGACATGGTGCAAACGGCCCTTAGGATGATTTCACTCACAAACACACCTACAGAAGAATAAAAAAATTCATTCAAAGATAGCTAAAGGTCGGTACGTTTGTAGGCCTCACACCCCTTTTCAAATATCCCAAATTTTCTCCATGAGTATGGGCTTGATTTCAACTATATACATATCTTCATACGAAGTTCCGGTACTGTACCTTGAATACTTTCAGAGATATGCAGTGTAAAAATTCGATTTATATGGGAGGTTCCACGCCCCCCTTTCCAACAGCTGCCCTCTTTCTTCATGAGTATGCGATTGATTTCGTATATCTCCATACCAAGTTCCAGAACTCTACCATGAACACTTCCAAAGATAGGAAGTATGAAAAATTCGGTTTGTATGGAAGATGCCACGCCCCCTTTTCCAATAGTTCCAATTCTTCTCCAAGAGTATGCGATTTATTTCGTACATCTCCATACAAAACCCTAGAACTCTACCAAAAAATTTCCAGAGATAAGCTATATGAAAAAATCGGTTTGTATGAGAGATGTCACACCCCTTTTTACAATTGCTAAAATTTTTGTATATGTAGCATGAGAAATTCGGTTTGTATGGGAAGTGCCACGCCCCCTTTACATATAGATTTTTTTCAGCCTAAAACCATCCTTGGGACACGTGCGGCAGGTGGCAGTTTCAAAAAAATCGGTTCAGCCGCTCTCGAGCCTTGCGAAAACTAACAAATGGCTTTATAAATATATATTAGTTGAGATATATTATATATTATAATTATATTTTGACAGTATCCGTTGTTTCTGATTGGCGCAAAAAAATCTTGCCTAGTGACGAATTCGCCCCTTGATATGGTCGTTACTTAAAGATATTTATATTCGAAATTGCATGAAAATTGGAAAACAGGAATCTATAAGCTTATCCAGGCAAAAAGCTACCTACGTACCGAATTTTAAGCAAATCGGACCATAAATACGATTTCTTCGAACAGATCGGTCCCTGGTCCACTTCTCGGACAAAATGGTTCATATATGCTAAAAAGCTACCTAAGTACCGAATTTTAAGCAAATCGGACCGTAAATACGATTTTTTCGAATAGATCAGTCCACTTCTCGGAAAAAATTGACCATATATCCTAGTATATGCTAAAAAACTGGGTCATATATGCTAATATATGCTAAAAAGCTACTTACGTACTAAATTTTAAGAAAATCGGACTATAATAAGATTTTTTCGAATAGTCCGGTCCCTGGTCCACCTACCCGAAAAAAGTAAAATTTTTTTAGCCTAAAACATGGTGGTTACCGAAAGCTATTTATATACAAAATTTCATGAAAATCGGACCAGGCGTTCGCGAGATTACCTGTTAAAAAAAAAAGGGACTTCTCTTTATATAATTAGTATAGATAGATGGGTCTTTCTACACTGGCGTTACGCGACACTCGTACGACAAAATGTTTAAAAAACATATTGAAAAAGTCAAAATTTTAAAAAGGTTTATCTAGATTTGCGTAGCAATTAAATGACCCCTCCTTATTCAGGAAAAAAACTTACAACTGTTGGTAGTAGCGATTTAAGGATATTAATAAACATACGCGCTGGCGAGAGAGAAGTGGATAATTTTCCAAGTTTTCAAATGTAGAAATCTTTTCTGCTTTATGTTTAATCAGCTGAGCTATCTAACGTGACGTTACTCAAATTTGCATTGAAAAAGTTTTGTTAATATTGTTCTTGATAGAATTTTTAACGGGAAGAACAATGCATTTTATGTCGAGCGCACTTTTTATTTTGACGTCAGCGCCACCAGCGGCTCGAGTTTTTTGCAAATCTATGTCTTATTACGTTTCAACTAAACATGCCAAATGTGAAATTTATCAGAGCATAAATATAGGGCCATTCACATACAACTTTCCTCGCTTTGCTTGACAGTTCAAACTTTGACAACAAAGCGTCAAACGCAGAAGGTATGCTACAATAAACGCTTTGACAGCTTTTGCGTTCTCCTTTTCCTCCATATATTTTCTCTGTATGTCCCCTTTCAGACACGTCAAGTCTTGAAAGCAATTTTTTTCGCATTCTCTTTTGTGTTTTCTATTTGCTTCCACACGCGTCAACTTTAATTGAATTCAAGGCCTTGGTTATTTAAATGGGAATCAACGAAAAGATCAAAAGAGACAAGAAAACTTGAAACGAATTGACGGTACGGAGGTATCTGTACTCTTCCCCTCTCTTCTCACCTCCTTAGCCTACGAACGAGCAGACTTGAAAGCAAGACTTGACGTGTCTGAAAGGGGACTAAAATAGATAACAATATAATAATATGCATTAATAATAGCAATAAAAATTCCTATTTACCCTATTTTTGTCATTAAATGCAAATGCAAGCGCACGAGAAAAGATACATAGAGACAGCTGATTGCCAAAGCGGGCAAAAGTTGAGAGTTGCCCAAGATTTTGCTTCGCTTTGCTTTGCTTTGCTTCAAACGTTTTTATGTGAGCATACTCATGCATATGCCTACATCGATCTTATATGTCAAAGCAAAGAACTATCAAGCAAAGCGAAGAAAGTTGTATGTGAATCAGCCTTATGGGTTTTAAAAATATCTCGACCATTTTTGGCAAAAATGTTTCTGCTTACATAACCAGTATATATTATAAAAAGCAGACAAATTGGCCTATAAATAAGTAAGATATAGGACTTTTAATTTTTTTACGCGGTAGACTTTTCTCTGGAATCGCCCATATGTACATACACATAGCACAGAAGAGGCGGATCGAAGGCGGCTTATTTGTCATGTTTAATCTTATTTATTATTGAAATGGCCTATACTGAGAGCTGGGCAGCTGAAGAGTTTCCCAACGAACATTTAGGTCACAAAAAGGATTAAAAAATTAGTAAAACTGTAACTATTTCCTTAAAGGTCAGCAAACGATTACAGGTACTATCGAAAATCATAACATTCTCTACAAAAGGAGGACTTAAGTGCCATTTTCACTATCCCTGGTTAACACTAATCCTCAGTTAAACATCGTTACTGACAGTACTGACTCCATTCATTTAACATTGGGTCGGTAACAATGTTTAACTGGGGATTAGTGTTAACCAGAGATGGTGAAAACGGCCCTTTGTATCTTATCGGTCTCTAATTGGGATTTAGAGTAGCAACAATACGGCATTGCAGTAGGACACACTCAAATCGATTTATAATCAGAGTATAAACGCGTAAATGCCTCGAATCCGAGTATACCTCGTAAATAAACTCGCTTTCCATACAAATTTAAGTAAGTTTACGAGGTTTACGTGGTTACGAGGCATTTCCGATTGATCAGCAATGAGACATGAACACACCATATGTTGCCTAGTTGGCAAATCTACGTTGTATTCATTTTCTTATGTTACTTTCTTTAGTCGGCCGCTGTGGTGTAGTGGTAAGCAGTGCGCGCTTCCACTCCACAATGCCTGGGTTCAAACCCTGGTCAAAGCAACATCGTAAAAATATAGAAAAAAAAGGTTTTTTCTTAACAGCGGTCGTCCCTCGGCAAAACCTCCGAGTGTATTTCTGCCATGAAAAACAGCAAATCTCGTAACATTTATTACTTACCATGGGCAATACTTTAGGTACTTTGTTAACTTGATATTGATATTGCACATCTAGCACTTTGACAACAACAAATTCCGCTAATGCCGCAAACACGGATACCATGCAGCCGGCCATCCATAGATCAAGTGCCTGAAAAAAAGAAAATACAAAATTAGTAAAGATAGTAAAAATACACACCCTTCAACTCACCTTAACATAGGCCACTGGCGGAATATCTGCTCTCAGGCCGGTGAACATAGTAACTAACGTTAGCATACATGTGACTAACAACGTCACACGACCAGGTATCGCATCGAGTCCCAGCCAAAAACTAAACCATGACAACATCACAACAAGCGATGACGGCGCAAACGTTTGTATGAGATGATGACCGATTTGTCGTTCAAATCGGAAATACACAGTTAGCCGCGAAAAATTGCCCACCTTCTCGGGCATATAACCATCACTCTCCTCAAGCTCGAGCGGTTGGCCGAGATTGTATTGCAGCAATTTGAGTTCGGGATTCAAAGTGACGCCAGAATCGGACCAACGTAACTTCACTTTTTTGTTATTCGAAGAGACTTTTTTGTTTGGAAGTGGGAAAAAATTAGCAACAGTGGCACTCTAAGGTTTTGCATTGACATTTCTACTTACAACTTTCAATGTAAATGGGGCACACCTGTATATCCATCGGATAGAGTTGGAATTCCATTTGACAGGCGATGATCGCATGCATACGCGCCGCATAACGTACCGTTTTGTTTTTGTACAATGTTACCGAAGTAAATTTGTGCGTTAATGTTGCTATCTCTGCAATGGGGCGGAGTGAAGAAAAAGAGAGAAAAAAAAACAGAAATATGGTGCAAATTGTGTCAATTGAAGTTATGTACTAAAAGCATAAATTCATTTTGTAAATATCTTCAAATCATTTCCGTGGGAATTGTGGGCAGGTGGAGGATGGGTGCGTGAGATGAGTAGGCGTGCCGCTAACGCGATAGGAAGTGGGCGGGAAAGGAAAAGAGTGTTATATTAAGAACTAAAGAGGTGTTAAACGACAAGATATATATGTATCTCGTGAAAACGCCGTGGCGACACACTGGGAAATTTTAAAATCAATAAAATAAGAGTAAAAAATAAATAAAAGAAATTCATAAAACTATATACTTAAATTTTATATAAAAATTAAAAGTGGTAAATTTTATTTTATAGCCCTAAGCGTTGCTACGTAAAGCTGGTGAAGTGAGAAGTTTAACTACGGGAGACTGAGCACAAGGCATAATTACGTAAGTACATTTATAAGAATATCGAATAAATTAGTCTATTAGTTTCATTCTACAAGTACAAAGGAAATATTTTAAGTAAAATCAATTGGGAAAAATTAAATTAAAATGTACATACATATGTATACAGGGTGTGTGCTAGACTTCCACCCCTTCTAACACGGAGGAAAATGTTTTTTATTGGAAAATGTAAAAAATATGAACTACCAAGTCGGGGATGCTCTAGGATTCGACCGGAAGTGGGTTAAACTGACCGGAAGTCCAGTTTTTGTAATCTGACGTACATGTTTTTACCCCAGATTCGAATTCTACGGACAAATATACTAAACTTTTCTCGGAAAAGTTTTTCTGGAACAGACTTCCGGTTAATATAATGGACTTCTGAACTGTCTACCCTACTTCCGGTCGAAACCGGAAGTCGGTAATACAAAAAAAAGTTAGATCTTCCCCGACTTGGTAGTTCATATTTGTGCGTTTTCCAATAAAAATATTTTTCTCCATTTTAGAAGGGGTGGACAGGTGGTCTAGGACACTTTGTTCCTATGTACATATCTGTTGAATGTATAGTATCACTCCCGAATAACTAGAATAAAAATAGAATTTTGCACGGACAATCCCCTTGTGGTAGTAAACAACAAACGAAAAGTCTGCATCGATTAAAGTGATGCCGGAGATTTTGTGCGTTGAGTTTACACCCTGGCGGTGTTCTGTTCGTGCAATGAGGTACAGTGGGGCTTCCGGCTACACAAAATTCATGTGCGAAATGCGGTAACAAACCCGAATGCACCCTTGTGCACGACAGAAAGAGAGGGAGCTCTAGTGGGTTCACTCCGACTTATTCCGATGAAGGATCCAATGAGGTCTGCAGCATCTGTCTTGGAGAAAACGACTCGCTTTCTTTAGTTACGCTAGGTTTGGGCATTGCCACGAAAAAAAATTCCAATCAAAAAGTTCAAACTGCCTCGCATGACGACTCCTTTCCTCCCTGTTAAATAGTAATTTCCTAAAACGAGAGTAGAAGATGAAGCCGAGCAATAGTCGCGTACGAAAAACATCAAAGCTGCTGGATTTGACGCCCTAAGTTCTGCCCAATCCATAAGAAGTGCGACTCCGAAATCTGTGACAACTACTTCCCATGGGATCGACCGCTTAAACGTGGTCTATGAAGTCTTATGGAGCGTATTTTGTGAACATCAATAAACTGGTGACTTAAGGTGAAAGAAGTCTATACTGTCGTGTGAAATTATGTTTAGCTGAGCCGTTCGATACCAAATGGAGTATCAGACAGGACGATACTCTGTCGTGCGACTTCTTTATTTGTATGCTGGAGAAGATAATAAGAGTGGGAGCTGAAAGGCGAGCCAAGTGTAATAATGGTGAATGCGAGTGATAAGCTTTAAAACTGGGTGTATAGAATTTCATACTAAATCGCGAAGACCCCGCAGAGTGGAAGCTGATCGGAGACGAGAGCAAAGTTGATCCATGTGAGCATACCAATTTTTAACTATTTTTCAGCTCTGACTCGCGTGGACAAGGTTTGACTATTCAGTCGCTTTGNTTTACCCCAGATTCGAATTCTACGGACAAATATACTAAACTTTTCTCGGAAAAGTTTTTCTGGAACAGACTTCCGGTTAATATAATGGACTTCTGAACTGTCTACCCTACTTCCGGTCGAAACCGGAAGTCGGTAATACAAAAAAAAGTTAGATCTTCCCCGACTTGGTAGTTCATATTTGTGCGTTTTCCAATAAAAATATTTTTCTCCATTTTAGAAGGGGTGGACAGGTGGTCTAGGACACTTTGTTCCTATGTACATATCTGTTGAATGTATAGTATCACTCCCGAATAACTAGAATAAAAATAGAATTTTGCACGGACAATCCCCTTGTGGTAGTAAACAACAAACGAAAAGTCTGCATCGATTAAAGTGATGCCGGAGATTTTGTGCGTTGAGTTTACACCCTGGCGGTGTTCTGTTCGTGCAATGAGGTACAGTGGGGCTTCCGGCTACACAAAATTCATGTGCGAAATGCGGTAACAAACCCGAATGCACCCTTGTGCACGACAGAAAGAGAGGGAGCTCTAGTGGGTTCACTCCGACTTATTCCGATGAAGGATCCAATGAGGTCTGCAGCATCTGTCTTGGAGAAAACGACTCGCTTTCTTTAGTTACGCTAGGTTTGGGCATTGCCACGAAAAAAAATTCCAATCAAAAAGTTCAAACTGCCTCGCATGACGACTCCTTTCCTCCCTGTTAAATAGTAATTTCCTAAAACGAGAGTAGAAGATGAAGCCGAGCAATAGTCGCGTACGAAAAACATCAAAGCTGCTGGATTTGACGCCCTAAGTTCTGCCCAATCCATAAGAAGTGCGACTCCGAAATCTGTGACAACTACTTCCCATGGGATCGACCGCTTAAACGTGGTCTATGAAGTCTTATGGAGCGTATTTTGTGAACATCAATAAACTGGTGACTTAAGGTGAAAGAAGTCTATACTGTCGTGTGAAATTATGTTTAGCTGAGCCGTTCGATACCAAATGGAGTATCAGACAGGACGATACTCTGTCGTGCGACTTCTTTATTTGTATGCTGGAGAAGATAATAAGAGTGGGAGCTGAAAGGCGAGCCAAGTGTAATAATGGTGAATGCGAGTGATAAGCTTTAAAACTGGGTGTATAGAATTTCATACTAAATCGCGAAGACCCCGCAGAGTGGAAGCTGATCGGAGACGAGAGCAAAGTTGATCCATGTGAGCATACCAATTTTTAACTATTTTTCAGCTCTGACTCGCGTGGACAAGGTTTGACTATTCAGTCGCTTTGCAGGTGGTTATTTTAAGAAAAGTTATGGATATTCATTATTTAATTTTTTCGCCCTGCTCTTTGGGATAAAAAAATTACCAAATTCATTTCGTTTTAAATTTATTAGACGAATTCCAAACTCTTTCTTCTTTAAAAAAATATTCATTTCTTAAAATTGCGCTTGCATAAGCAGAAATGATATTGAAAATATAAGGCACACATGAAATTCAGCGCTCGTTCTTGCATCCACTCTACGGTACCAAATCTTGATCAGCGTCGATGGAAATAAGCAACACTTCCCCTTGAAAAATGCCAGAAAAGTCAGGTAGTTGGAACGGAAGGGAGATATCCCGCCTTTCTGGGAATACCACTGCACCCAAAAGCAGAATATTTTGAATCCGCCTATATATGTAGGTGTCTGTACTCCAGCCGCGCCTAGCAGGAAACTTCATCTGAAAGTTTTTCCTAAAATCTAATGTAGGAGGTATATAGTCTGAACTTTTTCCTGATTCTGAGGGCTCTGCAAGAAAAAAACTATGCACCCAAAACGAGTCACTGTTTGGTAAGGTTTTTGGGCTGACGGAGATAACGGACCGTGCTTCTTCAAAAATGATGCCGTTAACGCTCATACGGTAAGTAGACTTATCGTGACTTGAAACACACTTTTTTATAATATGAATTAGATGACATGGAATTTGAAAATGCGTGGTTGCAACAGGACGTTACCACTTGTTACACAACACATGCAACAGTGGCCCTATTGCAAACATCTGCGAACTTATTGAATCACCGTATAAAATGAAATACTTCGTTACTTTTCGGGCTATCGAAATTTGCATGTCCGTTGCATAAGAAGCATCATATCGATAATACTTCTGTATAAGCCATGCCAATATGGCTTACAAAGTCCTATTAATTAGCAGTGTTGTGTGATAATAAAGGTATTACATCAGTGTGTCTTATTAGTGTGACTTCTGACCTGGCAAATCCACTAAATACATACATATAGTTGGAATTTTCGTAGTGCATAAAATCGTGGATAAGACCTTAGACCTGCTACAAGCTTTTTTATGCTGCAGCTTCCTCTACACAATTAAAATATATTCCAAAGATATTTGCAAGAAACGGTTTGAATTTTATTCACTTGAAACTACTTTATGCTTTTTAAACAGATCCAGCTGCGTCCACAACCCAAGATCGTAAAGCAGACACGTCAGAGTATACGCCGGGATAGTTGGGATAAGCGCAGCCGTAACCCCAGGATACAACGCCTACCAATACTCCACCGGAAACTAATGGACCTCCAGAATCACCTTGGCATGAATCTTTGCCCGCTGTGTACGAGCAGATCATAGTTGATCTTACCTGGCTACCGTAGCCATAAGTGTTCGAGGCGCAATCAGCCACACTGACAATAGACAATTCAACGGATTGCAATTGAGTGGGCAGAGACGATGATCCAGACTTTTTAGTACCCCAGCCAGATACAACAGCAGCTGCGCCAGTCGGAGGAGCTTCTTCAGCCAAAGAAATGGCTTTGATCGTTGAGCTAAATGAGAGTGAAGATGCCAAACGGATAACGGCAATATCGTTGACCATGGTGCGAGAGTTGTAACCTTCATGATTCTTGAAAGCGGCCACCTGCACGAGTACTCCACCGGAATTCCAGTAGGATGAGCCAGCACGTACCTTCAGCGAAGAAGCGGATACTCTTTGTAGACAATGAGCAGCGGTCACAATAATATTAGCGCTGTAAACCGAACCACCGCACGAATGGGATCCAGAACGCTGCAGTGAGATTTGCCATGGGTAGGAGCTGATAGTTGTGGCAACACCGCCAACAATGCGTCCATCCAATTGTGGTAGGAGACCTTCTGGCTGAGGGGCAGCTAGTGCACAGGCAAATGCCGACAATAGAATCACAAACTTCAACATGTTGAAAAACTTAATGTTGGCCTAGTGAGAGGTGCTAGTGCTTTTATAGCATTTCAGGGTATACGACAGGTGTGTGTGTGTGGATAGCAGGCGCTTTTTTTATCAATAAGATTTATAGGAAGCTTATGTGAGACAATGTTTGAATTTCTTTATCAGCATCGATTTATTTGATATTTTTGAAACGCTTGTAAATTAAGAATAATCGGCTGAGAGACTAGGTTCTGTGGTTGTCGCCGAACGTGTAAAAAAGAGGTAAACACTAATACATACATACATATGTATAATAGTAATAATAGATTGGCGCTTACACGTATGTTAATGTTTGGCCGAGCTTCTCCTCCGATTTGTGGCGTGCGCCTTGATGTTGTCACACAAACTGGAGGGACCCATAGTGTAATAAGCAAAGTGAAATCAATATATGACATATTTATTTTCGATAACCTCATTTGACAACAGTTTTCTCATTGCATTAACCCATTTTCCGGTACCAACATTATAAATAATTTGTTGTAGGAAATAAAGAGCTGTTTATGCAGAACTACCCACAATGAAGAGGAAGACATGTTTATTGTGCCGAAAGATGTTACACAGAAAGTGGAATCGATGAATTGGTGTGGTGTTCTACTGCCTGCATCATCCAAGGTTTGCGCCCTGCACTTCAGATTCAAATTCCAAGGGAAGACGCCTCAATCCTGATGCAGTTCCATCAGCCCAATTTTGCATGCCTTATTTCGTAATACTTTCGTAAACATATATTTAACTATTCTGTTTCTTGATTGACTCAGTAACCGCCTAAGCGATTTTGGGCAAATCCCTTAAAGCGCGCCAGTAATTCTGTTTTTCATATTACTGGTTACTGAACCCAAAATCTCAAGTCTCACTCGAGAATAAGCCCTTAGTCTATGCATATCTTTTGAAACCGGTATGTGCATATGGAATACAATTATAGGGCTCTGCAGCAACATCCAAAAAAGAAATATAGATATACTCCCAAGGTTCCAATTAAAAAATTTTAAGATAATTTTGAACACCACAGCGGCCGCCCATTGTAATTTTGACAACCTCTCGAAAACTTTCTTGGCAGCGTTTATCATTATTTCTGGACGTTTCGGACTCTTTGTGTTTTATTCTTTTGTAAAAATTTCGGTACCGTTTACGATATTTTTTTGGGACTTTTCAGAATTTTTCTGGACCTTTCGGGGTTTCCCGCAACCGATATATGTAAATGTGAAGGAAGCAATAAAAACTAAAGAAAAATATTAAAACAAAAAAAAAAAATAATAATAAAAGCCAAAAAAATTATTAAATATAATTTACGCTCAAACTTTCTTCAGCAAATACAGTCATTTTACTAATGTGTACATATAATACTCTTACCAACATTTGTATGTAAATACAAACAACAATACAAAATAATATATGTATGTAACTACACCAATGACTAAATTTATTCGAGTCCGCCCTGTATGTAAATATGTATGTATGTAGTCGGTCTGAGCTCTCTCCCCTACATTTAAGGACAATAGTACGTTTGTGCTGCTTACTATACAGTTATGTATGTACGTATGTATTTATAGTATGTATGAACATTTCGGTGAGCATGTACATACGTACGTATGCATGTATGTATGTATGTGGGTGGGTGTGTGCTTGCAGTTTAAATCACACAAGAAAAATTTTCGAAATTTGATTTCAGTTTGTATACTTAATGTTTTATTGATATGAAAGTTTTTCGTCTCTCTTTGATCCTTGTCGCGCAGTAGAGAGCCTGAAGTAATATAAGGGCTTCCGAATCCTAGCGTACGGGTAAAAGCACGAAGAATACGAATAATAGAGATTTCGAAAAAAATTTCAATTATTAACTAATAAGCAGTAACTATTTAGGGAAAAAGTTGTACATTTTGCAAATAAAGTATTTTCCAATAGACGCTGTAGATCGATAAACATACGGATGGTACGTACATATGCATGTATGTATGTAATGTATGTATGCACTATGAATGGTTGTCTGTATTCGAGTGCATTAGCACTCTTGTATGTCTTGTGATTGTTTCAAAACAAAAACAGCGATGTTTTGAAATGCCAAACAAAACAACGGTAAACATTGAGATCTACTGCGCATACTCGAAAACCATTCAAAAGCGGCGATTTCATGGATGATTGGTTTGCTCGCGCACCAAGGCGACGTGAATGACGTGAAAGCGCTAATGATTATGCAATTGCCAATACATACAAACAATCAAAGGAACAAAAAACAAATAAGTAACACCAGCGCTAGAATGGCTAATAAAAAAATATGGATTGAACTTGAAGTGAACTTAACCTGGAAACGCCCACCCACCCATGTGAGACTATTACAGCCACAACAAAACTATGTATGCACCATGTGTGTGAAGCAAAAATAAGAAAAACGACAAGCAAAAAAAAAAAACCAAACCAAATACATGAAAAGTATGAAACCACGTGTACATATAACACCTAACAAATTAAACAAACACACGCGCGTGGGTATCGGAAATGAAAAGTATATGTATGTATGTATGCACGTACATATATAGAGCTTACAAAGGTAAATAAAAAATAATCGCTTACATTTAAAATACATAATTATGTTTGTATGTGTTAGAAATTAAATTTTTAGCGCACTGCTTTTTTCTACATACAGTCGCGGTTGCGAAAAAATGCGCACGCACATGTAAAAATATGGCAAAAGTGCGTGGGCGCGTAAAATGCTGTCTCATACTTGCTGCACTTACCGGCGATTTTCGAGTTCAAAAAATACGGATCTGGTTGCCAGAGATTGTCGAAGAATTCTGGAAGTAATGTCACATAATCGTCACCCTCTTCGAATATATCATCGGACACCTCGAGTCTTGATTCAAGCCAACGCTGATGTATAAACATGTCTACCCTGAAAAAATATGTATAATTTTGTTTTGAATTAGTAAGTCTCTAAGAAGGTAAAAATGTTTGGAAATGTTCAGAGCGTTTTTAAGTTAAAAAATGTAATTTTTATTGTTTGTGTTTCTAAGAAGGTAGGAATATGATGCATTGCGGAACGAAGCTCCTGGACACGAGATCATAGAAGGCAATGATGGGGCTCATAAATTAACGAAGGCGGGATAGTGTCCCTTGCGATAGCTATCAGAGCAATTAAGCTGAATTTCCTTATATTGGCTAGACTAGCTTTGTCCACACACACACAGACACAGACCAAGAGAACTCCCATCTGACCATAAAAGCGATCGGATCTGTTTAATAGAGCAGTGACAGAAATGTTCAAAAGAGTAACAACTATCACGATAAACTGGATCCATCGCAAACGTGCAGCAAGAATTTGAAAACACAATTTTGTTCAAAATTTTCATTCCTGCAAAATAATAATTTATTTTCCATATCCATATTTAGCTCGCTATAAACACAACTTTTTCAAACCAGTCGCAGGAGACAGTATCAAAAATGAACGCTACGACGTTACAGCCAAAGGAATGAGAATGAATAATTCTTTTTAAAAGGCTTTAGAAAAACCTGACAGATCTGATATGCTTGATTCTTCAAGTGAAGATGAAAGTGAGGAGGATACATTCGACATTTTCAGCCCAGATGTAATTCTCATTACTTTTTAACCGACTTCCAAAAAAGGAGGAGGTTATCAGTTCATCGGAATCTTTTTTTTTTTTTTTTTTTTTATGTATGTTACCGCATAACTTTGGACCACGTCAACCGATTTCGATAATTCTTTTTGCTATCGGAAAGGTAGTGTTGCATACTAATCTGGTTAAGATCCGATCAGTGGATCATGAGATATATATATATATATATATTTTTTTATATGAGACTTGAAGTCGGTTTTTTTTTTGCTAAAAATTACTTGTTAATAATAAGAAAAATATTGAATGCTCATACAAACATATACATATGTATGTATATAAAAAACTTTCATTTAGTTTGAAAGCAATGGAGTGCAATGGGGTATAGTCATTGCGCTGGGTATGCAGTTACAGTTGCATGGCTATACTCAATCCCGACTCTTGCGTCCTCGTTCGCGCACTCTGGGCAACGTGAGCAACCCATGTGCGAGATGCGGTAACCAATCCGAGTGGAGCCTTGGGTCACGGCAGAAAGAGAGGGAGCTTCGGTGGGGCCACTCTGACTTATTCGGTTTAAGGGCTCACTGAAGTCTGCAGCGTCTGTTCACCAGTAGGTGCGGCTGCAAGCGGGTGTCTGCTTGGAGCAAGCGGCTCGCTATATAAACGTGTATTTGGTTGCGAAACCACCCCCGTCCCAGCAATGGGTTGTGCGCTGGGCTTGGGACCCGCCACGTAAAAACCACTTCCAGTGAAGAAGCAAGGCAAAGCCTCGGATGAGACCCCCCCTTATGATGACGACCACGGCAAATGTTTAAAGGACTACGATTTGAGGGCATGCACCTGGAATGTCCGGACCCTTAATGGGGAAGGTGCCTCTGCCCGGCTGGTTGATGTCCTCGTAAGGACAAAAGCTGACATCACCGCCATCCAAGAAATGCGTTGGACGGGGCAAGGCAAAGAATGTCTGGGGCCATGCGACGTCTACTACAGCTGCCATGTAAAGGAGCGCAAATTCGGAGTTGGATTTGTGGTGGGAGAGAGACTCCAGGTGCATGCCCTCATATATATGATTAATCAAATTATTTGATTAATCAGGATTATGATTAATTAAAAAACTGATTTTTTTGGAGCACGTTTTGTGAAAGTATAACATTGATGGCCACCTTACGCTTAATATACATATCGCACAACGTCTTCAAAAGAGTCACAACTCAAAATAATACGTTTGACAGAAAATGCGAAAAACTATTTCTTAGCACAGAATAATCATATGGGGACAAGGGCGACTTACTTACTTTAGATTTTTTTAACAAATTATAACAAAAATTTGCTCCAGCTTTTGCCGAAAGGTAAATAAAAGCTCTACGCACATTTTTAGCGCATAATCTCAATGCTGAGTTGTGACTCTTTTGAAGACGGCGTGCGATATCCTTTCTAGCCTAATGGCCGGTTTAATAATAGAATGGCGCTTACACATATGTATGTTAGTGTTTGGCCGAGCTCCTCCTCCGATTTGTGGCGTGCGCCTTGTTGTTGTCACACAAAGGGGAGGGAGCTACAGTTTGTTTACTCCAGGTAAGATTCAAAAGAAGGTCTCCTGAGGAACATATATTTTGATAAAAGCGTTTGGTTTAGTTAAGTGACATTTTGACTGTTTAATGTTTAATATTTTTTTTTACAAAAGCCTAACAGCACAAAGTTACAGGGTCATTGTCAGCTATACGTCACAGAAAGTGCGACAATGTCGCTAAATCTTCTTTACTGACGATGTCACCGGTGACCTTTATCGCTATTAGGTAACAGCATTTCCAAAACATCGCATTATACCACAAATACTGTTCATACATACAAAGCAAAGATTTTTTTTTTTGCAAATGTCACATGATATTGCGGTAAATTCCGTTTTAGGATTAATTGTTTACGCCTGCTCTTATCGTCTTTCATTGAACAAGGACAGAAAAGAGCTAGTAATAACTAGTTATAAATTAACAAAATATAACTGAACTTAAAAGCAAATGAATAAAATGTTATTTATTACGTTTTTGTACATGGAATAGTATATCATGGACTGATACGTGACCATTGCAGTCCATTTATGACATCGTACGTAACTGCTAAAATCAGTTGCAGATAGCTGGTTGGTTTTCATGAGCTATTAATATTTTATAATCAATAAAAAACAAAAAATCTATTTTGGTATTATATTTTTCCAAGAATAGTATGTAGTGTAAATTCTGTAAAATCAAAATTCATTTTTACGATTATATGTATGTAAAAGTGTTCACATTTTTTCTTACACGTTACAAGTCTCTCAGCCGATTCTTCGAATCTGATTATTTCTAATTTACAAGCGTTTCAAAAATATCAAAACGATCGATGCTGATAAAGAAATTCAAACATTGTCTCACATAAGCTTCCTATAAATCTTATTGATAAAAAAAAGCGCCTGCTATCCACACACACACACCTGTCGTATACCCTGAAATGCTATAAAAGCACTAGCACCTCTCACTAGGCCAACATTAAGTTTTTCAACATGTTGAAGTTTGTGATTCTATTGTCGGCATTTTCCTGTGCACTAGCTGCCCCTCAGCCAGAAGGTCTCCTACCACAATTGGATGGACGCATTGTTGGCGGTGTTGCCACAACTATCAGCTCCTACCCATGGCAAATCTCACTGCAGCGTTCTGGATCCCATTCGTGCGGTGGTTCGGTTTACAGCGCTAATATTATTGTGACCGCTGCTCACTGTCTACAAAGTGTATCCGCTTCTTCGCTGAAGGTACGTGCTGGCTCATCCTACTGGAATTCCGGTGGAGTACTCGTGCAGGTGGCCGCTTTCAAGAATCATGAAGGTTACAACTCTCGCACCATGGTCAACGATATTGCCGTTATCCGTTTGGCATCTTCACTCTCATTTAGCTCAACAATCAAAGCCATTTCCTTGGCTGAAGAAGCTCCTCCGACTGGCGCAGCTGCTGTTGTATCTGGCTGGGGTACTAAAAAGTCTGGATCATCGTCTCTGCCCACTCAATTGCAATCCGTTGAATTGTCTATTGTCAGTTTGGCTGATTGCGCCTCGAGAACTTATGGCTACGGTAGCCAGGTAAGATCAACTATGATCTGCTCGTACACAGCGGGCAAGGATTCATGCCAGGGTGATTCTGGTGGCCCATTAGTTTCTGGCGGAGTGTTGGTAGGCGTTGTATCCTGGGGTTACGGCTGTGCTTATCCTAACTATCCCGGCGTATACTCTGATGTGTCTGCTTTACGCTCTTGGGTTGTGGACGCGGCAGGATCTGTTTAAAAAGCATAAAGTACTTTCAAGTGAATAAAATTCAAACCATTTCTTGCAAATATCTTTGGAATATATTTTAATTGTGTAGAGGAAGTTGCAGCCCAAAAAAGCTTGTAACAGGTGTAAGGTCTTTTCCACGATATTACACACTATGACAATTTCAACTACCTATAGTTGATATGCCAGGTTAGAAGTCACGTTGATAAGAAACAGTAGGTTTTTTATGAGACCTTAACTAATAGGACTTTGTAAGCCATCTTGGTGCGGCTTACATAGCGGTATTTGGTGCAGACTTTCCTCTTTCACGTCATATTTAGATTTTTAAGCCAGCATACCATCCATTTTTGGTGCCTTATTGTTGTTTTTATATAGCCTTCGGCTTGATAATGTGCACTTTTTGGTTTCTTCCTTGAAACATTTCCATTTTAGCGTTCATCTGACGGCTATTAAAAAATGTCCAGTAGTGGAATCTACTACATAAAAAATACCAATATCACCCTATTAACGGGAAAGAGGTCTTTATTATATGCAGTTTCATGTAGAGAAGCTGGATCGTCGTCCACAAATGCTTAGTTTTTCCTCGGATATCGTTTAACCGAACCCAGATATATCACGCAGAAGGTTACAAATTTGGGTAGCCCTTCTTTTTCCCGTAGAAACCTGAACTATACGGGGAACCCGTTTAGTACATTCACTTTGCTTTGCAACACCTATAAATCCTTAACTTGAATTTTAGATACAGGATTGAGTCCACCATACTTTAGAAGGCGTCTAAGTATCTGTACGTTTGTAAAAGTTGCAGAGACTAAAAACTGGGGCCCAATTCAAGCATTTCTTACATTCAATTTTGAGGTGGGTTTAGCCAAAGGCTGAGGTTGTACAGGTTTAATTTCAGAGTCGAGTAGAGGTCCCACAACCGCCACTACATAAAATACCGTATTTCAAGGGGCTGACCGCGAAGAAAATGGTGCTGGTATCGGTAGACAATCCCTGCAGAAATAAGACGCCCAATTTTCCGAAAAGAACCAGTACTTCACCGGTTAAAACTTGACCGATTACAATTGGAAATTTGTTTGCATCGAAAATGTTAGTTTTCGACCAGTGCCTAAGGAAGTGGTCTAGGGATAGACTAAAAAACGAGACCCTCACAGATTTGTAAATTTTGTTCAGCTTAATAAAAAATTTCCAAACAACACCACTCTTTGCTGTTAAAATGTACAAATCTATACAAATGTATCAATCGTTTGATTAGGCCTTCATTCAAACTGAACATTTGAAAACGCATTTACATACATGTCGTGGTTGTAGCTGAGTGCGCAGAGATGCTTGCTACTATTTGTTAGTTTCAGGGTGGCCCCTATTGGTTTTCTCTTAATTACGAAAAATAATCTCCAAAAATTAATCGAATAGTCCAAAACAGTGTTGCCGTTGAGAATTTTCAGAAAGTCGCAAAAAAGGTGTAAATGACGAAAAACAGGGTTACCATTTTATATTTGCTTTTCTTTACTAGTAAAAAAAAAAATTCTGAGATCACAAATCAAAATCAAATTTACATGTATTCCCTGCTAGAACGTTCCGATATTAAATTTAAGAAGAAAATAGCGGGACAAGCTTCAAACAAAACATCGAAATCGAGTTTCTGCAAGAAGAAGGGTTGCATTTCCTTTAAAAGTTTTAAGTGCTGCATTTTTTCCTTCTTACAGGAGGAAATATTTTTTAATAGCATGGTTCTAAAACAAAATCTCTGAAAAGGGAAAAAAGTCGCACATAATTTTGGAAAAGGGCCAAAAAATTCAAATCGGGTCAAAGTGTATTGGCGCTTAAAACTGGTCAAATTGCCCCTTTTGCGCACAAAGGCAACACTGGTTCAAAACCAGACCGCAAAGTATGCATAACTGGGCATGAGATGGTGGCTCTTACTGTCCTTACTGTCTTACTGTCTTAAAGCTTAAACAGACGGCAGCGTTGATCCAAATTAACTCGGACTTAATCCGGCTCAACTACACTTAATTCCCGAGTTGATCCGGATCAACGCTGCCGTCTGTTTATGCTTTTACTGTCGGAAAGCCTCGAAACCGGCCTCTAATATAGAGGTCTCTTTGTTTTTGGTGTGAGCCTGGCTGCAATTAAATATTTGCGAGCTTTCACGTTTTGTTTAAAAAATGAATTAAAAAGTGTTATGGAAAGTGGAAGTTAATATTTCGATAATTATAATTAGGACTTAAATGTGTATTTTACAGCTATATATTTTGAGTCTTAATAACGCTCTCGTGTAATCTTATTAGTTTCATCTTACCTAAAGTCCATATCCTCTACATTGATTGAGTTAATATCTACTACAAATATGCTAAAGTCTACTATCACTGGAGAGCCTTTCTTTGAAGGTGGTCTCATTTCTGTAAGACCAAAAGCAATAGAAAATTAACATAGTTTGTGTAGATACATTTTCAAATACATACCCTTGACATAATTAGGTGGAAGAACTACGCGTGGTTTTGCCGTGTAGTTCATTAAGGCATCCGTTGAATCAGTCAGCCTAGAAATAAGCGTTACAAAATTAAAACATTTTAATTAAAATATTGCGGAAAAAACATAAAAAAGTACTATATCTTATTACACTAAACGAGCAATTCTTGTTTATAAATATATACAAATATATATATATCCATTGGCTTCTTGGAAACGGCTCTAACGATTTTTATGAAATTTTGTTTACAGATAAAGTTTAAGGATATTTAAATAAGTATCATCTCTGGGGATATTCGTATAAGGTTGCAGCCTATTCGAAATTAGCTACAATTTAAATAAAATATCATAATAATGGTATCCAATGGAAGGAATATAAAAAATCTGCGATTCAGAAATATTTTGGAATAGGGTTGCCAGCTATTGTGAATCGCATATTTGTTTAATTTTTTGTTTAGAAAATAAAGGTACAATATTACTTACTATTAATGGGCACTGAAATTAAACAATGCTTTGCCTATATACTAGGCGTTATCCTTAGGATATTAGTGTAAGGTTGCCACTTATTTTCGATACTACAAAATTTAACTAAAAAATCGCAATATGGATATCACATGAAAGGTATTTTTGGGAACTTTAGTCCGAAAATATTTTCGAGGAGGGTTTCTTTGTAATACAAATTTGTATTTTGTTAATTTCTATAATACGGTGTTTACATGAGGCGTTTTTACATACAACTTTTAGTTGAAAGCAGCAAATGCCTGGTGTGAACGACCTTTCAAATTATCGCTTCCAATTAATTAAAATTGGCTTTTAAGATTTTTTTTTGTATGTATACACAGTACTTATCTGCTCAAGATATGCAGTATTCATCCCAGCGTATTTCTAAATAGGGTTGCCATCTCATTGTTAATGTAAAAAAGTTACTTTATAAAATATTAAAAAGTAAATTTTTTAATTTATTTCCAAAACATTATTTTTTCAATCTACCCAAATGACCAGTATTTGAAACCCAAACCTTGAATCTTTCACTCGAAGTGCATGTGCAAATCATATCCCAATTGTGTGAATACTCAAATATTTCTTTTTATTTGTTGAAATTTTTGAAAACAAGATTGGTGTATTATTCCAAGCTTTTAACTACAAAAAAAAAAAAAAAAATTGTCTTGAGATCTTTAGTTTGTACGAATAGCCCAATATAAAGAGATGCACAAATCTGTATTAATGTACCAATCGAGTGACACTGCCTTAAAAATTATGCAATTAAAAAAGAAATTCTACGAATTTGCATAAAAATTTCGAGTTTTTAATTAGATTCTGAGTATGCAGTTTTGAAGCCCATTGAATTCTAGTAGAATAAAGTACAAATTTCCAATGACTAAAAATTACGGTTGATTTTTTACAATTTTTAAAAGAGCTCGAAATTTGTACGAAAGTTTGTTGAATTTTTCTAATATTGCACAAAGTTGGTAACTTGGATTTACACGGATTTTGTTAAGGAAAAAAATAACCAAAATTAGATAAAAAACAAAAATAATCTGTTAAAACTTGGCAAAAAGTGGTTCGGCTATAATATTTTGACTACCGTGTGTATTTTTTTATATATTTAATTGGACACGCACATTGTACATAAAGGTACGTACATAACAAAATTAAAAAATAATGTGGTAATTTTTTGCCTTTTTCAAAGCTCATTTTGCCTTTTTTTCAAGTTTAAAATTCAAGCCCTGGTTGTTAACATCTTTTTATCGGAGCAGATTGTTGGGTATTAAAGAGCTCAGGTGTTGTGTCACGGGAAGTAATCCGTCAGTAATCCCACAAATTGTCTGCAAATACCCTGCTCAATCAAAACAAATACCATGCTACACCTTCTAATATAGATGGCAGCAAGATTTTTGTCTACCTACAGTCCCCCGAAACCTCCCAGTCATAAATGAGCAAAATACTCACCTAAGTATTTTCTGACAGTGGCTTCGATGTCCGAAAGTAGAAGTGTTATAACTGGTTGCGAATCAAGGAATGGCTGCTGTGAGCCTTCTATAACTAAATGGTTCGTTAGTCGGGACTTGTATTGCCGAACCAATTTGATAGTAGTTAGAGCGCTGGCCAATACCTTAAGTGCAGCTTGGGCAACACTTTTGACACCTAAACTCCTTCCTTTCCACCATGTAGTCCATGGTTTGAGATATCGCCTGATGCCCCAAGAGGAAAAAGAAGATTGCCCCCATTACCTTCGATATGAACTCCAGATTCTAACACAGTATCAGTTTTGGAGCCAATAATAAATATGGAATGGCGAGCTCAGTATTTGGGTTTAGCCAGCAGTCAGCCTAAGGAAACTCAATAAAGGTAATCGAATCTCACTCGTTGTTTGTATCCAAGTGTGCTCATAACAGGTAATGGGATTTAGAACTAAATGTGGTACACAACTCTACTCTTCTTGGCCTATTTGTGGGGAGGATAATACAATTTTTAACTTTGAATTGCCCAACTTAAAGACGCTTTTGCGGCGCTGCAAAGAACGCGCTGATTTTGCTAGTTTTAAGTAGACGTTTTTGGACGCGCATGCCTATTGTTGTTTATGAGGGTGGTCCTTAAAAATATCAACTTCATGGATCACCCCTTTATTTTATTATTATTAAATACAGTCACGAAAATTACAAAAAAATAAGAGATCGATACCAGGCTTAAAAAACTTTTTTATTTTTTTAAATTGCAAAAATTCGACAAGAATATACTTTGACCAGCTATAACTTAGCAAGTTTAGGAGTTTACATGAATAAGTTTCAAAAATATGTCAAATTTATCTGAATTCGAATCGAAATTTTGTCGAATTTTTACCGTTTAACAAAAATTTTTATTATTTCAAATAGTTTTAAATTTTGAAAATTTCGTTGCCGTCTTATTTTGTACGCAAAACAAAATAAAGATGTTGCCCCATACAAAATCTAGATTTCATATTTTATGGTCCACCCTAATGTACATGTCTAATAAATACACTGGTTGGTTAATGTTCTATGGATGCCACTATCCAATTCCTATCGAGTTAATTTTCTTTTTATGGATACGTTTTCGAGATATTTTCAATTTACCGTTATTCAGCTTAAAGCAAAAATTGGTACCTTTTAATCACGTACATCTTACGAACCAATTCTAAAATCTTAATATAAAGTACGGCAAATGAAAGCTAATGAAATTCATCATAAATCGTATATACATCACTTTCCGATAAGGCTTATAGTTTCTGACAAATTAATTAATCATTCCACCTTCTTTTATTTTTTAATGGAAAAATGAAAAAAATCTAACATTAACAGAAGAAAAATTCAAAAAATAACAGATTCTGTGCCAAATTTTTGCATTTATACTAAAGCCTGTTCTGTAACAAAAAAAAATCAAATTACTAACAAAGAAAATGGATGGATAAATAAGAAATACTGACTGGCCAAATGAAAATACGCAAAGATTTTTTTTAATTGGTTCGTGAGATATATGTGATTAAAAGGAACCAATTTTTGCTTTAAGCTGAATAACGGTAAATGCAAATATCTCGAAAACGTATCCATAGAAAAACAAATTAACCCGATTTTCGGAATCACCGAGCAATTCTACATAGAATTTGGATAGTCGCGTCTGGAGAACAAAAACCAAACTAGAATTTGTGATCCAGTGAGATTTAACGAAATGGAGTTAAAATTTTTCAACGGACATCACACAAAAAGATATGGAAATTATGTATATAAAAACTTAGTACACTTACCAAATCCATATCAATCCCAGACTGCATGGCAATAGTAGATTCGTGTATTTATCCAGCATTATGATAATCACAGTGGATAGTAAAAATTATCTATTTCAACTCATCTCACTCGGAATTGTTGTGAGATTGTCATAGTTTTCTGGATAATGCACTGAAATATATTTATGTAGACTAACTGAAATATAGATTAACTATTAACTTGAGCGATTATTCATTTGTTACAGCAGTGTTTAGTGTTTTTGTGAAGCACAAGCATTTCGGTTTGGTGGTTTTTATGATGCATAGTAGACTTTAGCCTTTTTTTTTTTAGAAAAAAAAAAAATATTGAAAATTTAGAAGTTTTTTCACTTTTTATATAATACACGATTAACACTTTTAAGCAGTCGCTAGAGAATTACTCTATGTTTTTGTATGCAGTAAATTTTTTTTAACAAAAATTTTTAATTAAGCTGCTTTTATTAAACGAGTTGATAAAATTTTAAGGATAACAAAGTTGATAACACTGTGGACACTGACGTGCTTGAAATCTTGTAGTTTTCATCGGCGCTATGTCCTTTTCTTTTTTACATGCAGTATGATGGATAATTTATAATAGACACAAAATCCGATCTGCCAACCAGCTAGGCTTAAGATCAATTACAGAATAAACGCGATTCATTTGCTCTTAGACAAACGAGCGCCTTGTAAATTGGCTTGAGACAGTGGCACTGAATGAGCGTCTGTATGTTACTTTGAAGTATGTATGTACGAATTCGTATATGTATTACGATCTTAAAGTACATACATATTGTATGTATGGAAATACATATACATATATCTACATATGTTCCTATCAATTGTCATCAACGCCTTCGCGACTGTCATATACACTCACATATGATTGCATATCCCAGTAGATAAGGGAATCATACTGTGAGCGATGTTGGAACGCTTATAACTGATCGTAAGGCCGTACCCATATTGTCCAAATGGGCAAAAAAACATGCTCTCTTTTAATATTTGATGCACCGGAAGATCAAGCGCTCTCTACACAATAAAAAAGCACAAATAAAGAGCGCTCTTTGCGCGGTAAAAAAAAAACAAAATCAGAGTGACCTATGAATGATCAGAAAATACAGAAATAGAGTGCTCTATATTTGATCAAGAAAAAAAAGACGGGGAAGCGTTCTACTCATGTTCCCACGAGACAAAGGAATATCGCAAATTTTTAAGCAAAAAACACAACCGACTTCAATGCTCAAAAATAAGTTTAGGAGTACCGCTAACTTCTTCATGATCCAATGTTTGGAACCAGGGGTGGAAAATAAAATCTTCAAATTGTACTTATTCTGAGGAAACATTTTACCTAAAAGCTGACGCAAGTACCTAAAATGAGTAAATATACACATTTTTTTACACATTTCACATCACGTCAATTTGTTTAACAGTTCAAAAATATGATGGGAATCTTCCATACCTGATTTTGAGATTCAACTTCCCTAATACGTTAAGCTCTGTTCAAACTGGAAGAACTTTTCGAGGCCAAACAAAGTTTTAGTCAAGGCAAATCATTCTGTTGCCTAAACCTGGGTTCTTGCTGCAACAATTTGCTACCACTTACTGCGGCCTCTTTTGACTATGCTTCTGTAGCATTTGCTTGCCCACACCCGCCTCTATGTATGTATAATAAAAATAATGTAATTAATTCAGAAAGATTTTTACCGTCGGTGTGAGGCTGTTGGTAAGAAAGCTCGAAAAAGTTTGATTCTTGCTTCTCTTTCGCAAATGTTATTTTGTACGCAGATGATCTAAAAATGTATTCAGCTGTTAAGAACTCCGCCAACTTAATGAAACTCCAATCCGAGCTGGATAGTTTATATTCGATACAGCATCTTTAATTGTGGTTTCCAGTTGATAAATTAAATCAAGAATTTTGGTGTAGTCTTTGACACTAAATTTTTATTTACCGATCATATTAATTTTATTATTTCAAATGAATATTCAATGCTTGGCTTTGTACTCCTGTATAACCCTTTTCTGCGATCTAACTTGGAGTATGCAGCAATAATATGATTTCAAATTCATCGACCTTGATTTTTCTTTGTCCAAAGCGGTTTTTACTAACCTCTCAAATAAAATACCATAGCTTAAGCCTTATTGTTATATAGTCTGTACGAAATTATTGTTTCATAGACTAATTGAATAAATAAATAAATATATTTGTTCAACGCGAGAGCGCTGGAGATTTTTTCTACTGGGATATGCTCTGTTCTTTTATCACACTACATAGATCCACTATAAAACTCGCTTGCTGCAACAAAAATAGGAATGTGGTGGTTGTGCGCGCGATTATAGCGTGTCGCGTGCCATTTTCGTTTATCGCAGAGGTATTTTATATTTACATACATACATAAGTACAAAACCATTTAGAATGCATCATATGTTCATACTTATAAAATGTTTATAGCTAGTGACTAACCAACAGCCAGCCGACCCTTAATCATTAATAAAGGTATATTCGCCGGCAAAGCAGCCTGAACAAACAATTTTTTATGCAGGCATAAATGGAATCAAAAATTCGCATCTAAACTTTTTGCTTTGATGACCGATAGTGCATACGAGTATGTATCAGCGATGCCAACTTGCGGGCAATTCCACGTTTTACGGGGAATTTGACTCGTGGCGGGGAATTTTGACTATTTAATTTTAAATCATTAAAGAACTTACCTAGAGTGCAGACTACTTTTTGTAAAATTTTATTTTTTAGTCACAATTGCAACTGTCCAACTTCGCATTAAATTTTACTTATATTCATTTATAGATCAATAAGATATAATTTTATGAGAAATTAGTGAAAAAATTTAACACTTAAACATTGTATGTACATTCGTTAAAAATTCAAGTAATTCAATTAAAAGGCCCCAACAAAAAAAACTAAAAAAAAATCAACAGTAACTTTTAGCCATTTTCAACGTGCAAATTATTACACTAAAATGAAATTGACTTCTAAACATGTCAAGTAAAAAGTTGAAAATTTTGACCACGGCCAACGTCCACAACTTTTTGTGCTATATAAAACGCACTCACTCGATGGTTCAGTTACTAAGGGAGGGAAAGAAAGAAATGGCTTCCGCCTGCGAGGGGCAGCCACTCTAACCTAACCTAGTGAAAAAATTTAACACTTAAATATTGTATGCGCAATTGAATTAAAAAAATTTGAGTTTTTTAATTTCAGAACCCGCTTGAATAACTGTACTTGTTAAAACATTTTGTGCAAGAACTGTGTAATAACGAAAAATCTGGTAGCAATTGAAAAGATTTTACAGTGTGGAAGAGTTGGTACTCATTTCGTATTATTGGCGTTTTGTGGAAAATGAATTTCTGAAGATATTAGTAAGAGATTTTTAAGAATGCTATAAAATTATTTAGTCATTAAATTACGGACTCTTTTACTAAGGTGCATAATGCTCCCTGTAAGACCAAAAACGTCTGCGTGGTCTAAAAAAGACGAATGTTAAATGCAAAAGTTGTGAGCAAAAGAACTTTTTGCATCCTGAAATCACGGGATTGCTAAAATGCTTCGGGATTGAATGCCCTTGTATGTACAACTATGTATATACATTAGGGTGGTCCAAAAACAGTAAAGTCGGAATTGGAATGCTCTCAGCCCCTAGGATTATTCTATATTGAAAAAAAAGTATACCCCTCTTTTTTATTTTGAAATCAAAATATATTTAGAGGTCGCTCAACGCGCTCAAAGTTTTCCATGTATTTTTATATGGGAAAAATAAATTTTTTCGTAGAAATGGTATAGAATTCTTGAAAGTCAATTTTTTGTCGATCGGAAAATTCTTGTTCTCTTCAGGAGACTTTCAATAAAAATACCCAATTGTTTATTTAACTATTTTTTAATACTAACTATTTTTTATTGGTCGCCCCATTGCATTTTTCGGGGTGTTTGTGGGTAGAAACACATTGATTTTTAACTATTCTTTACCGTTTCTACGAAAAGTTGTTTTGTCTCCATATAAAATACATGGAAAACTTTGGGAGCTTTTAACGACCTTTAAATATTTTTTTAATTCAAAATAAAAAAATAAGGGTATATTGTTTCGGTATAGAACAATCCTAGGGGGTGAGAGCATAAAAATTCCGACTTTACTTTTTCCACATGCATTTTTGGACCACCCTAATGTACAACTATGTTAATACATATATGTAGTATTTTCAATTGATTTTGCTTCATTCGTAATTTGAAAGCGGTTTCTGGTTTGCTTTCATCACTGTTTTAACTTAACTTTGTTTCTTTGAGTAAGTTTGAGTACTTCCAGATAGCTAAGCGGTTTTATAGTTACAACTTATGAGTTATCGTAATTTACCAAGTAGTTCGGGTTGGTTGGCTGGTCATTTTACTCAAATATAGTATTTTTTCTACGATTGCGCGTCGCCCAAAGAAATGAGGTAACTCCAAGGTAATTAGCTATAATTAATTGTTTTATTAAATATTTCCTGCAACGGCTTCGTAAGTAAGAAAGAGTTACTAAGTTAATTTGAATGCACATTAGGGTAGGTCAATAGCTAAGGATTACCGAATCTCACTTAATCTAATAGCGTTTTCTTTTCTCAAAAAAAGTTCTTCCCTTTTATATGGAAACTCTTGCTTTGCGTTGCCCTGAAACCTGAGAAATTGTTGCGTTCTTTATATGAGAATGAAACAGAAATTATACTACTCCACCACTTCATCACTTCATGCACTTCCATCAGCATACTCCTGTTTCTCTAGGTCATATTTTTCGCTGTGTATATGCAAACGATACAAAAATACTAACACCCAAAATCATAAAAAATAAAGCAGCATTTAACTGCTTTATAAATCGAAAATTTGTATGAAAAGCTCTTCAAACCTATTTTATTTTTTATGAATAAGGCAAAAAGATTTTTCATATCAAGTAAGATAAGGAACCGACAGCGCCTGTAAAAATTTAAAAATATATGGGAGATTTTCAAAACCTTTGGGTATGAGTACGGTGACCATTCGTACCGATTTTGGCGGGACAGTACCGATTTTGAGAAAATTAGCAAAATTGGACAAAGTTTCATCGAAATTTTGAGCTTTGTAATTAGATTTCTTAGAAACATTCTGAGTATGCAGTTTTTTAACCTATTCAATTCAAAGTGCGAATTTTCAAATTCAAATGTTTCAAATTGTGGTGAACATTTATTCAAATTTGTCGAATTTCTATAAATGTTCTACAAATTTGAAAATTTAGATTTACATGTTTTTTTAGATAGTAAATAAGAGATACAGGCATGTTCTGAAATTCAAAAGTTTGAAATCGACTCGATTTAAATAATTTTTTCGATGGTTTTTAACCCAAAAATGTACAAGTCTCGCAAAAAAATTATTTATTTCATATCGCTTCAGCTTCTTTTATGGTTTTCAATTAGAATATTAACCATTTTCGTCAGATATAATTAAAAATTATTTGGCAAATCGAGTCGATTTCAAATTTTTTTTTGAACATTTTTAAATTTTTTTCTCTTTGTTTTATTTTAAATAAAACTATATTAAGTCTTTTTATTCCAAAAACAAAATTGTATGTTCGGAATCTTTGGAAATGTCCCGATTTTTGGCCCCGAAAATCT